CATTATTTGCGTGCAGATTTTTTTATTAAAAAACAAAACAAAAAAAAACAAAAAAAACAAATAAATTCATTATTACTAACTATGTATTATTAACTCCTTCTTCTATAGATAATATACTTTAACAAATTCGTTACTGGCCCACATTCAACAAAATGTATAAATAATGATATCTTCTTACTTTCGGGCTATTCGGTTTGAAATATTGCGAAGTGTAATTTTAGTTTCCCTACAATGAGAGTTCTTGTGCTTGGTTCAGCGCTTTTGGTGATAGGTGAGTGTTAATTAAATCTGTCAAGGCTGTTTACCTTATTCAACTACAGTATATTTTCTAGAAAGTAAAGACAATTTTAAAAAATAAATAATAAAGAAAATAAATAAATAAATTGAAATCCAGTAACATCAAATTCTTGAAAGTTTACTACGTCTTTGAAATCTTTATCTCTGTTTAGAATGAATAATTTGAATTTTTTTTTTTTCCATCACCATCGATCGTCTCGGACAACAGCGGTGGTATGGGGAGAGCAGAGGTGTCAGAAAGACAACAACGGCATCCTCAGGTACAACGGCCAGCCTTGTGCTAGCACCACCCGATACGACGACGGCCACAGGGGGGCTTGTGGTTGTGGGCCGAGAGGATCAGGTAGTTACGGTTGACTTAACACAGAATTTAAACCCACAACTACAACCTTTGGATCTAATCATTTTATGTTTAGAGAGGGGATGAGCAAACACATGAAATAGTTGACCTTATAGATAATGAAATGAAGTGATACCCTAGAGCAGCGGTTATCTACCTGTGGGTCGCGACTCCTTTGGGGCTCAAACGACTCTTACACAGGGGTTGCCTAAGACCATCGGAAAATACATATTTATGAAGTAGCAGCGAAAATAATTTTATGGTTGGGGGGGGGGGTCACCACAACACGAGGAACTGTATTAAAGGGTCGCAGCATTAGGAAGGTTGAGAAACACTGCTCTAGAGGAAAATTAATAATAAACTCTCAAAGGCAATTCCCCCCCCCCCCCC